ATAACATAAAATAGAATAACAAAAAAAGAAAAGTAAAAAGATCGGATCGGGTTTTTACAGGTATCGGCCCGATCCGTTATTTTCGGAAAACGCTAAATATCGGTACCGATCCGATATTTAATATCGGCACAGCCCAATAAATTATGATTTTAAAATTATTTATAAAATTATAAATAAATTTTAGTAATTTTCATAGTATTTCATTATATATGAAAGAAAATACCAAGCTACTTACTTTCAATATTTTTTTTAACGTAGTGCTCTATCTCTATTGAAAAAAATAACGAACTATTTTAACAACCCTAAATATTAGATATATACATCTAATTATTGTGTAAAATAGATATTAATGTATATGAGCCATGTATAGGCACCTTATTTATTTATAAAAGTATTAGCGTTTATGTTTATATTTTTGTTATTTTTCAAAAAAAAATTTTTAACCTTATTTTTATTAAGCGATTAGAGAGAAAAAATAAAAAAATATCTACGCATATACTTAAATGAATACCTATTTTTTTTTTACTAGTCAAAATTTAATAACAAATAATAATTAACATTACCAAAAAGTGGATGGCATGTATTTAAAATGAATGCTTAATTGTTTGATATTAATATCAAAATTTAATAGCAAATAATAATTAAATCATTACCAAAAAGTGAATGGCATGTATTTAAATGAATGCTTAATTGTTTGTTATTAATATCAAAAATTACAAGTAAAAAATAATCGTTACCAAAAAGTGAAAGTAAAGATAACTAAAAAAATATCATATCTAAATAAAAATTTAAAAGCAATAATTACTGTCTAAAATTAATGGTAACATTTTGTTATTCTTGTTTAATTAATTAATTAAAAATTGAATGGGTAGGACAACATTTTCAAAAAATTTTTTAAATCAAATATAAGCGGTTTTTGCTTTGGAAATGAACTAGAACCTTCGGAATTGGGACAAATTTGGGAATTAGAACCAGAATCTGGAACTTCCTTTAAAAAGGAATGTTGGAAAGTTTGTTCCAATTGTATTGCAATGAAAATTGAAACATTGGAAAAATAAAATTCCTAAAATAAAAATAATTTAATATAAAATTAAATACTTTTAGTAATCAATCACATCCCTTTTATTTCATGATATAACAAAATTAAAAGCGAAGTAAAACCATATTTAAAAACATAAAAATATAATCTAAAATTAAAAGTAAAAAAATACTCTGATAGTCTATATTCTTCTATTAATAGCATTCAAATTAAATCATATAATAAATTTAATGTGACTCCCAAAATATAATTATACTATTCGCTAAATACAAATTCTCTACAAAAGTTTATTCATCGATCACAACAGGAATCAGAATTGGAACTAGGATTTGTTTTATCAGATACCAGATTGGAAGCCAAGCAACCTCTTTCTCACTCTTATTTTACTAAAACTTTTTTAAAATAACTTTTTTGCAGTTTTCAAAAAGATTATTATTATGGATGTACTGATATTTTTATCGGATCAAGCCGACATTTCATCTTTTTTAACATATCGGTTATCGGCCAAAATGTTTAAATTTTCGGATCCGATAAAATAGCACCTTAATAAATTTTTTTTTCATAATGTGATTTATCAATAAAGATATTTTATATACTTTTAGATTCGTGAATATAAACTATAATTGACATTATAATATATTTTGGGCGATTTATAAAAACGGCTAATTCAATATTTTAACCAAAAATATATTGTCTAAGCCTCGAGATTTCGTTAAAAAATGTCTGAACCTTTATGTCAGCTCAGAGAAATTTCTGGATAAAATAGTAAGTTAGCCGTTTTTAAAAAGCTAAAAACATAATTTAAATTTTATTAAATAGCTGTAGAATAGCCCTTTAATATGATATAAAGTTTATTTTATTGAAAATAAATCTATTACCAAAAGGAAGAAATAGAACCGGTAGCTATTAAAAGAAAAATGCTTTTCCCCCTTCAATTTTTTTATAGATGACATTATATTTATTTTTGCACAAAACCTTAGACTGGGGCACACACTAATCCAAGAGATTTCATACCTTAAATATTGGTTATATGGCTATAATCGTATATAAATATATCATTTATATTTAAATATGTAGAAATTTTTTCAAAATAAAAAGAAAACATAAAATTCAGACATGTAAAAAAATAGATCGGTTGACATTGGAGATCTCTTGATTGGGCCTAATATTTAAAAAAAAAATCAGACTGGGCCTGCCTTAAATTTTGAAATTAAATAAATATATTAAAATTTTTGTAAGAAATATAGCCAATATTTTTTTTGTTTGTAGAATGATCATAAACTCGATTATTTTTAGTGTAATTTAAAATTCTATTTTTTTATATTTAAATAAATTCTAACCGGGAAAAATAGTTCTTATTTCGGGCAGACTTTTCTGGACAGATATAAAAAAAATTATCTGGATGCAGATCACTATGGATATTATGTCATATTTAACCCCCCCCCCCTTCCCATGTCACTGAATTTAACATAAGTTTAGCTATTTTATTTAAAGAAAAAAAAATAGAAATTTTTTTTTATAACTTTATTTAACTAATTATTTATATTACATGAATATCAATGGGAAATTAATATTATAATAAACATTAAATAATATACATGCAGTTTAATGAATTTGAATAAAATTTGACTATTTGTCTTTCATTTTTTATGGAATAAATGCATGAAAATTTTATTCCTGGAATTCGTTTGCATGTAAAAAATCTATTTTCGAAATTGGTTTTCCATGCTTATGCATTCAATGTTTCAATGAATATATAATGAATTCCAGGGATATTAATTCTTTCGTAATTGCATAAATCCATAGGTGGTAGTGTATGATTATCATCAGGATATTGTGGGCTTGATCAAGCCCTTAATCGCAAGGAGTTTTGCCATGTGCAGTGGCAAAAATCATTTTCAAGTTTTTTTGTTTTTATACTGGGTTCGGAAAAGTAAAAAATTATTGAAATTTTTTCGGCAAGAACTATATTTTTTGATCAATCGATATGTTAGAATTAATTTGTATCATCCACGGAATAACCCATCTAAGATCATAATATATTAATTGTGATTTTAACTGAAAGGGGTTGCAGCACAATTACTGGATTTGAAATAACTTTTTTTTGAGAAATATAAGACGCTTATTAATTTTATAAAATTATGACAGTTGCTAAAATAAATAAATTGCCTATATCGTAGAAAAATGCTGATGTAAAATTTATCAATAATGACGATGGTTGCTCTTAGAATTTATCTTCAATATGACTATGGCAAATATAATTATTTTGTTTTATTATTTAAGAAGATTAAACTTTGAGAGATTTATTTTGATATATATGAGATTTATTTGCCATAATAAACCGAAATTCTATAAATAATATTTAAAATGAGAATATATTTCTGACGATCACAAAGATTATATCCGGCAAAAAAATAAATTACATAGCTTACTCACCGAGTTGTCACGTCAAAAATGTCAAATCTAAAAAAAAAAATTTTTTGCTGGGTGAACGTCCATTTTTGGGTAGGGTGAAAAGATTATTAGCGTTGATTTACTTTTTATTACTATGGTTGATACTTTATTACTCTTTACAAAATCATTATTTATTTCTTATAATGTTGCGTTTTTATAATAATATAGTACAATTTGGTAAACGTTTTTTTTTGCTTTTTTAATATTAAAAAAATGCATATTTTTTTTGTATATTGACCACATTTTTAAAGATAAGCTACTATATATTTGGTTTAATATAGGATTTAAGCCATTCAACTTATTTTTAAAATGAAATAACTCTTGCCCCAGTATTCGATCCAGTTTAGGATTTTATATAAATATTCAGGAGTATATTATCTATCTAAAAAATTGAAAAAAAAAAATAATATTTTTCTTTTATTTCCAGTTTTTGGTAATAGATTTATTTTCAATAATAAATTTTATATCATATTAAAGGGCTATTCTAGAGCGATTTTATATCATATTAAAGGCTATTCTAGAGCGATTTAATAAAATTTAAATTATGTTTTTAGCTTGATTGTGTTTTGAGATAGGTAAAATTAAATGAAGTGTATTTTCAACATTGGCTTTTTTAAATATGGGCATATATCTAAAAGTAAACCTATTTGAAAAGTAAAAGTTTTACTTTTTATTAGTTAATGTATATCAGAGACCAGAGGTGCCATTTACACTGCCCGTCTGGATTTTTTAAAAATATATTATATTTATTTTTAATTTTTATAGATTATAATAGCTATTTAAAATATTCGATTTTAAGATACGGCCCTCCCGGCCCGGGTATTTTTATAAAAGATTTTTTAGGCCCGGCCCGAGTTTATTTAAAAATATAAAATACGATTGGAGTTTAAAAAAGTTGTTCTCTGGTTTATATATTACCAACATAATTTTTAAAAAATCGAAGGGAGTCTTGAGAAACGAGTTTTTTTTGGTTGATTTAATATATATTTATTTTTTTCCTATAATATAAGTTTTAATATATATTTTAGACTTTTGGAATATTTGAAATTGAAAATATAATAAAAAATTATTTAAATTTTTTAAAAAAAATGAATATTTGAAAATAAATTGTAGGAAGAAATAGATAGCTATAGAAAGAAATAAATAGCTATAAAGGAGAAATTTAAGCACCTTAATTGACATTGTGAAAAAATTAGACATAGATATCAATGTAATAACCGGAAAATGGTACATAAGATTTACCGGAACGGGCGCACTTTTCCTAAAATTTTTGGCCGGACAATTTAAAAAGATTTTATAACGGACCTTGTCATTATGTTAACAGATAAAAATGAATTCTATGTGGTTTTAAAAGGTGCACCATTTTTTTTAAAATTTATATCGTAGGGAAATTATTTATTATACAAAATTATAGGCCATTTAGGATTTGATGTTTTTATTTGAACATTCTGTATAGATGTTATATTATTTAATATGTAGTTTTTTTTGAAATTAATCGATTATTTAGATCAAGTACCAATCCCGGAAAATAGCGAATCATCTCTTTAATATTATGAAGCGCCAAAAATTAAAAGACTTTTGCATTTATATATCCAAGTACAAGATTAGTATCAAAGGACAACCATACGTAATTTAAAAAATTTTTTTTTTAACTTGAATAATAAATAAACTATATCACCCAACAGATAAACAAAGTAAATAATCTTCTGTTCCCATCCAAGTGCGCTGACGATGATATTCTTCATTTTTGTCTTCTGTTAAAAGAAAAAAGGAAAGGTTGGCCTAATAAATAAATTTGCCAATCACTTAACTATTATATAAGGATTTGAGTCATCAAGAAACGTGATCTGCTATCTGATAATAAGATAAGAATTTAGAAGAACATTTGAGACCAAAAAGTGGAATCCTTTAGTAATTAAGCAATGGCTTATTAGAGTTTACTTAGAAAAAAAATACTATTTATTTTATTATAAAGTAATTTATTTTTTCCCCTTGGAACAACGCATTTAGACCAAAAAATAATACTGTTGACTAACGATAATATATTAGGAATCAAATCGTTGTCTCAACATATACCTGCCTACACATCCAACGTAAATTTTAGTTATTATATTACTTAAAAATTATTATTTCATGATCTAGGTTTATAATGTTATATTCATCATGTAATTTTATAATTATATCTAGTTACTTTGTTAAGGTAGGGCAAAAGCATGCTCAGAATTTAATTTGAATAGACTAAAAATATTATGATGTTTTTTGTTATATTACACTTAAATAGTAAGAGCTCTATATGATGATTGATAGATTGTATTAATTTATTTTAAATTTAAGGATATGCTCGAAGCTTCCGACATCAAGTCATCCAGTATAAATGGTGAGTTACTTCTTATTCTCAATTTAATACATATTTTATAACAATCATGATATTGGGTGAGCTCTGATGGGGAAATTTTCAAATTAATTTAAATGCAAAATACTTTTTTTTTAAAAAAAATAATGAATTCTTTTCAGAACACTTTATTATGTACACCCTCTTAAGTAATACATTCGAAAAATTTTAATAACTCAGAACTACAAAATGACACATAATTTCATTTTTTAGCAAGATTATTTTTTAAATTATATCTCAATTTTTAAAAAATTTATTTTTTGAAATTGGTATCTCAAGAACTATTAAGTACTAAGGGGCTAAAATGTTAGATTCGATGACATCTAATAATGTTTTCTCAGTGTGCAAAATTTTACCAAAATTAAAAAAGGTTGGCCTGAAAAGCTTGATTTGAGATGGAATTACTCAATTTTATTTCATTTAAATTAAATTGTTATATATAATAAAAAGATTATATTTAAAATGTTGAGTTATATAAATTTAAAGTAACTAATTAATTTTACTATATAGCTGTATAGTTAAAGTTACCTATAAAAATTAACCATCAAAACTAGTGTTGTTCTAATTCAATATTAGCCAGAAAAATATTTCTTAAGTCTCGGGAATTCGCTAATAAATATCCATACCTTTGTGTCATCTCTGAGCAAAATCTTTAGACTTGCATAATATTTTTCTGAATAAAACGTTGAATATAATAAAATAATATTTATTTAAATTTATGAAACTTTAATTATATTAAATATTAAACCGCGTTGCTATATATATTTTTTCATTTTCATAATTTTTAAACTCAAATTAGAAAACATAAAAACTATGGAAGACTATTAATAAAATGGAATAAACTAAAATTTCCATTTGTATCCTACAAGAAATATTTTTCACTTCTAAAAGAAGTTGAATGTTTGAGGATAAAAGTTTTGAAATAAATGAAGATTTTCAACTTTGGACAATATCCTAATCAACAGAGCAGAAAGATCAATTTAGTGGCCACAGTTGATGCGGAGAAAGCTTCAGAAAATAGAAGAATTAAAATTATATCCCAACGCTCAATTTAAAAGTGTCAACTTAATATAATAACTAAGCGAAATATGTTCACATATATGGTAGAAAAAGAATTGGGAAGTTATTTGATAGGTCCAACATAAGATGGAATTTATATCATAAATAATGTTGCGTAATCGGCTAAAAACTACGCCTATATCTAAAATTAAATTAGTCAAAATTCTGCATCGATGCTTAGCATTAATTATTATTTATTTATTTTAATAAAATAATTTATTTTATTTATATTTAATGTAAATATTTTATTATTATCAACAAATAAACATGATATGATTTAATATTTTTTATTTATATTATATATTGTAATGAAAATAAATTTATTTATTTGATGTTTTTTTAATAAAAAAAGTAATATGCTGCTATATTGTAAAAATGTAATATTCTTTTTAATATAATTTATTAGTGATTATATCACATTCTTTGTAAATACATCTTTTATTGAGGAATTATATTGTAAATTTTATTAGATAAATAAACAATCTTTTAGGTGAAATCTTTTATAATTTTTTTATCATTTTTTTAAAATTATCTATTTTTTATTAAATGAGGTGGATTTTATGAAACTTTGATGTTATTTTATATGATCTTTTTAAGGATAATATTTTAATGTGACAATTGAATCGTTTTATAAGTTTTTTGAAGAAAATATGTTAAAATAAGTATTAATAACATGTGTAAATATAAATTTAGTGAAGATGTACCAATGAAAAGTGAAAATTGTCATAATCGTTATTTTCTAAAGTTTTTTGAATTTTTTTGACGACAATATGTTAAAATAAGTATTAATAACATGTTTAAATAAAAAAAATATAGATTGTAAAATTAAAATTGCCTGAGTATGTGCCATAGAAAAAACATATGGTAATAATAGAATCTTCCCCAAAAATAGGAGCTAATTGGCATTTTATTACATCCGTTCATCGGGTCAGAAATTAATATTCAAAATTTATATCATAATATCTAATCCTAAGTTAGAAATTATTATTTTTTGCCAATTTTCATCAGACAATCTTGTTTAAAATTTGGGTAAACTTTTTTTCTTATTTTAAAATCAACATCGATGCAAATTAACTATTTTCGTCAACAAAAATCAAAAAACTTTAAAAATAACGATTATGACAATTGTCGCTTATCTAGAATACATCTTCACTAAATTTTTATTTAAACATGTTATCATTACTTATTTTAAAATATTTTTGTCAATAAAATTCAAAAAACTTTAAAAATAACGATTATGACAATTGTCACTTTTCTACTGTACATCTTCACTAAATTTTATTTAGACATGTTATTAATACTTATTTTAACATATTTTCGTCAAAAAAATTCAAAAAACTTATAAAATAACGATTATGACAATTGTCACTTTTCTATGGTACATCTTCACTAAATTTTTATTAAAACATGTTTTTAATACTTATTTTAACATATTTTCTTCAAAAAACTTTAAAAATAACGATTATGACAATTGTCACTTTTCATTGGTACATCTTCACTAAATTTATATTTACACATGTTATTAATACTTATTTTAACATATTTTCGTCAAAAAAATTCAAAAGACTTTAAAAATAACGATTATGACAATTGTCACATTAAAATATTATTATTAAAAAGATCATATAAAATAACATCAAAAAAGTTTCATAAAATCCACCTCATTTAATAAAAAATAGATAATTTAAAAAAAATGATAAAAAAAATTATAAAAGATTTCACCTAAAAGATTGTTTATTTATCTAATAAAATTTACAATATAATTCCTCAATAAAAAAGTGTATTTACAAAGAAGATTGTGAAAATCACTAATAAATTATATTAAAAAGAATATTACATTTTTACAATATAGCAGTATATTATTTTTTTTATTAAAAAAACATCAAATAAATTTATTTTCATTTAAAACAATATAAATAAAAAATATTAAATCATATCTTTATTATTTGTTGATAATAATAAAATATTTACATTAAATATAAATAAAATAAATTATTACTAAAATAAATAAATAATAATTAATGCTAGGCATCGGTGCAGAATTTTTGACAAATTTATTTTTGCCAATTTTTAGGCTTAGTCCATTTTTAGGCTTTACCTAAGCCTAGCCGATTTTTTCACCTAAAATCTCGGCTAAGCCGTTTTGTAGTCGGTTAAAATTAGCCGATTACGCAACACTAATCATAAATCCATGGTATTTTTAGATAACATATTAAGTGAAAAACTCTAAAACTTTGACTTTAACTTTTAGTAATGTAGATTTAATTTAGTATAGTTAAACGGCTCGATTTTTTAAAAACGGCTAACTCAATATTTTAGCCAGAAAAATATTATCTAACCCTCGAGATTTATTTAAAAGATGTTCAACTCTTTGTGCCACCTATGAACAAAATCTTAAGTGAATAATATTTTTCCTAATAAAATATTGAGTTATCGTTTTTAAAAATCGGCTCAAAATGACCCGTTTAACAACACTATGTATATTTATTAAAGACAAAAAAATATTAATATAATCGTTATTTTTTCGAAATTTGAAGTTGAGCATCATGCTTATATGGGTTTTCTAACTCCAAATGTTTTTTAATATTGACCATATTTTGTCGGAAATTTTTTTTATATAAAAAATAGCGAAAAATTACTTTAATTTCATCGAAAATACCTTCCTATGATTTAGTAAATTTTTTGGATTCAATCAAATTGATTATCAAAGAGATATTATACTAAAAAAATTTTTCTTAACAAACAATATGATAATAAATATATTTGATAATTATAACTAGTGTTGCGTAATCGGCTAAAAACTATGCATAAGCCTAATAAGGCTAAGCCTAAAAATCGGCTAAGCCTAAAAATCGTCTAAGCCTAAAAATCGTCTAACTAAGCCTATATAAATCTGCTAAAATTAAATTAGTCAAAATTCTGCATCGAATCTTAGTATTAATTATTATTTATTTATTTTAGTAAAATAATTTATTTTATTTATATTTAATGTAAATATTTTATTATTATCAACAAATAAACATGATATGATTTAATATTTTTTATTAATATTATTATATTTTGAAATGAAAATAAATTTATTTATTTGATGTTATTTTAATAAAAAAAAATAATATGCTGCTATATTGTAAAAATGTAATATTCTTTTTAATATAATTTATTAGTGATTTTCACAATCTTCTTTGTAAATACATCTTTTATTGAGGAATTATATTGTAAATTTTATTAGATAAATAAACAATCTTTTAGGTGAAATCTTTTATAATTTTTTTATCATTTTTTTAAAATTATCTATTTTTTATTAAATGAGGTGGATTTTATGAAACTTTTTTGATGATTTTATATGATCTTTTTAAGGATAATGTTTTAATGTGACAATTGTCATAATCGTTATTTTATAAGTTTTTTGAATTTTTTTGAAGAAAATAAGTATTAATAAGATGTTTAAATTAAAATTTAGTGAAGATGCACCATAGAAAAGTGACAATTGTCATAATCGTTATTTTATAAGTTTTTTGAATTTTTTAATAAGTATTAAAAACATGTTTAAAAAATTTAGTGAAGATGTACCATAGAAAAGTGACAATTGTCATAATCGTTATTTTATAAGTTTTTTGAATTTTTTGAAGAAAATATGTTAAAATAAGTATTGATAACATGTTTAAATAAAATTTAGTGAAGATGTACCATAGAATATTGACATTGTCATAATCGTTATTTTTAAAGTTTTTTGAATTTTTTTGACGAAAATATGTTAAAATAAGTATTAATAACTAGTTTAAATATAAATTTAGTGAAAACAATGAAAAGTTACAATTGTCATAATCGTTATTTTTAAAGTCTTTTGAATTTTTTTGACGAAAATATGTTAAAATAAGTATTAATAACATGTGTAAATATAAATTTAGTGAAGATGTACCAATGAA